AAGAAGGCCTAGTCCTGGAGTTTCAGCCTTAGGGGCAGACTTCAGGTTTGCCACCCATCTGGAGGCTATGGAAGTGCTCTCAGGAAATGAATGTTAGGGGACTCCAACTTTGCATGTTAACTCAGCCTGACCACAGCTCACCGATACCTCCCAGAAAGGAGCTTATAGTCTCATCTGAAGCCCTGATTTTTGCAACTGTTGCCCAGAAGATCTTCCTTGTCTCCTGGTATGGAGGCCAGCAAAGTTTCCTATTGCAGACCCACAGGACTGTACATACTTAGATACTTTAAAAGCTGCTGCCTAAGTTTCTGGCTTCTGATCAGCCTGAAACTAGGTGCTGACTGAGATTCCTTTGGAACACTGGCAAATCTTGCACACCCTCATTAACTGGGACCTATTGAGAATAAATCAGGCTGCTTAGACAATCACAAAGTTTCAAGAGAAAAACAAGAGCTAGGGCAAGGTTGAAAAACCAGGTTTATTGCCCATACAAGGCCACTCCTTCAAAACTGGGAGAAGTAGTTGTTTTGCCTAATACGTAGAAACAAACACAGAAAGTCAAGAAAAATGAAGGAACAGAGGAATATTTTCCAAACAAAAGAAAAAGAAAGAACCTCAAAAAACAAAAACAACTTTAATGAAATGGAGATAAGTAATTTACCTGATAAAGCATTCAAAGAAAATCACAAATATACTCACTGAACTTGGGAGAAGAATGAACACAGTGGGAACTTCAACAAAGAGAGGGAAAATATAAGAAAGTACCAAACAGAAGTCATAGAGCAGGATAATACAATAACTGAACTGAAAAATACACTAGCGGGGTCCAAAAGCAGACTAGATGAAGCAGAAAAAATGATCAGTGATCCAGAATATGGGAGAGTGAAACTCACCTAGACAGAGCAGCAAAAAAGAAAAAAAAAAAGAGTTTTGAAAAGTAAAGATAGTTTAAGGGATTTATGGGACAACATCAAATATAATAACATTTGCACTATAGCAGCCCCAGGAGAAGAGGAGAGCAGAAAACTTATTTGCAAAAATAATGGTTGAAAACTTCCCTAACCTGGGAAAGGAAACAAATATCCAGATCCAGGAATCTCAGAAAATACCAACTAAGATAGATGAACACAAAGATATCTACACCAAAACACATTTTGATTAACATATCAAAGTCAGAGTATCTTAAAAACAGCAAGAGAAAAACAACATATTTTATACAACAGAACCCCTATAAGACTATGAACAAGTTTTTCAGCTGAAAATTCATGGCCCAGAAAACAGTAGCACAATATAATCACAGTGCTGAAATGAAAAAAACTTCCAATCAAGAATACTCTACCTGACAAAGTTATCACTCAGAATTGAAGGAGAGCTAAAAAATATCCCAGACAAGGAAAAGCTGAAGTTCATCACCACTAAACTGGCCTTACAAAAAATGTTAAGGGGACTTCTTTAAGCTAAGAAGAAGGGACATTAATTAGTAATAAGAAAACATATTAACATATAAATCATACTGGTAAAGGTAAATATATAGTAAGGGTAGTGGATTAATCATAGATGAAGCTGCTATGAAGGTTTAAAACACAAAAAGAGTAAAAATAACTATAATTATAATATGTTAAGAAATGCACAAAATAAAAAGATGTAAAATGTGACATCAAAAACAAAGTTTGAGGAGGGGAGTAAAGATGTAGTTTTAGAATGTGTTCAAACTTAAGTTGCTATCAACGTAAAATAGACTGTTGTATGTATAAGCGGTTTCTGTGAAGCCTATGGTAACAATAAAAACGTGTAATAGATACACAAAATATAATAGCAAAGGAAACTAAATACCTAAACTTAAAGAAACTAATCAAACCACAAAGGAAGAAGCAAGAGAAAAAGAAAGGAACAGAGAGGAACTACAAAACAGCCTGAAACAATTGGCAAAATGGCAATAAGTACTTACCTAGTAATAATTACTTTAAATATAAATGGACTAAATGCTCCAATCAAAAGACTTGGAGTAGCTGAAAGGATTAAAAATACAAGACCCATCTATATGCTGCTTGTAAGAGACTCAATTCAAATGTAAGAAATTACAAAGACTGAAAATGAAGGGAAGGAAGAAGATATTCCATGCAAATGGGAATGAAAAGAAAATAGGTAGCCATACCTCTATCAGTCAAAATAGACTTTAAAACAAAGACTAACACAAGATAATGAAGAGCATGAAATTATGATAAAGTGGTCAATCCAACAAAAGAATATAATGTTTGTAAATATTTATGCAGCCAACACAGGAGCACCTAAATATATAAAACAACTATTAACAAACATAAAGGGAGAAACTGACAATAGTATAATAATATTAGAGAACGTTAATTTTCCACTTACATCAGTGGAAAGATCATACAGACAGAAAATCAATATGGAAATATTGGCCTTAAACAACACATTATACCAAATGAACTTAGATATTTAAAGGACGTTCCATCCAAAAGCAGAATACACATTCTTTTTAAGTGCACATGGAACATTGCCCAGGATAGATCACATGTTAGGCCACAAAATAAGTCTCAGTAAATTGGAGAAGATCAAAAACACATCAAGCATCTTTTCCCACCATGATGGTCTGAAACTGCAAATCAATTACAAGAGGAAAATTGGAAAAAATCACACACATGTGGGGATTAAACAACGTGCTATTGGGAACAAGTAATGGGTTAAAGAAGAAATAAAAGGAGAAATAAAAAAATACCTTGAGACAAATGAAGATGGAAATACAACTTACCAAAATATATGAGTTGCAGCAAAAGCATTCTAAGCGATTCATATTGATACAGGCCTAACTCAAGAAACAAGAAAAGTCTCAAACAATCTGTCTTTATACTTATAAAAAAATAGAGAAGGAACTAAACCGCCATATTAGTACAATCAAGGAAATAGAGAAGGAACTAAACCGCCATATTAGTACAATCAAGGAAATCAAGATCAGAGCAAAAATAAATGAAATGGAGACTAAAAAGACAGTAGAACCTATCAATGAAACTAAGCTTATTCTTTGAAAAGAAACAAAATTGACAAGCCTTTAGGTAGACTCACTAAGAAAAAAAGAGAGAACACTCACATAAAATCAGAAATGAAAGAAAAGTTACAACTGATACCACAGTAATACAAAGGATCATAAGAGACTACTATGAACAATTATATGCCCACAAACTGAACAACCTTGAAGAAATGGATAAATTCCTAGAAATATACAGTTTTCTAAGACTGAATCATGAAGCAATAGAAAAACTGAGTACATTGATTTCTAGTAAGGAGACTGAATCAGGAATCAAAAACTTTCCAGGACCAGATGGATTCACTGGTAAATACTTCCAAATATTTAAACATTTAATACATATTCTTTTCGAACTCTTAAAAAATTGAAGAGGAGGAAACACTTCCAAACTCATTTTAGGAGGCCAGCATTTCCCTGATAACAAAACCAGAGAAGGACATCATAAAAAATATATATATAGGCCAATATCCCTGACGAACATAAGTACAAAAATCCTTAACAAAATATTAGCAAACTGAATTCAATAATACATTTAGAGGATCATACATGATGATCAAGTGGGATTTATGTTAGGGATGCAAGGATGGTTCAGCATCCACAAATCAATCAACGTGATACACCACATTAACAAAATAAAGGATAAAAACAATATGATCATCTCAATAGATTCAGAAAAATCATTTGGCAGAATTCAACATCCATTTATAATAAAAAATCTCAATAAAGTGGGTAGAGAGGGAACATACCTCAACATAATAAACCCCATGTATAACAAAACCACAGCTAACATCCTACTCAATGGTAAAAAGCTGAAAGCTTTCCTTTAAGAGCACAAGACAAGGATGCCCACCTTCACCACTTTTATTCAACAGAGTTGTGCAAGTCCTAGCCAGAACAATTAGATAAGACAAAGAAATAAAAGGCGTCCAAATTGGAATGGGAGAAGTAAAACTGTCATTATTTCTGGGTGACATTTCTTACATATAGAAAACCCTAAAGACTCCCCCCAGAACTGTTAGACCTCACAAACGAACTCAGTAAAGTTGTAAGGTATAGCATCAGCATACAAAAATCTCTTGCATTTCTATACATTGACAATAAACTATCAGAAAGAGAAATTAAGAAAACAGTCCCATTTATAATTTCATCAAAATGAATAAAATACTTGGAACAAATTTAACTAAGGAAGTAAAAGACCTGTACCCTGAAAACTGTAAGGTATTGATAAAAGACATTAAAGAAGACATGACTAAATGGGAAGATATTCCATGCTCATAGACTGGAAGAATTGATATTGTTAAAATATCCATATTACCCAAAGCGATCTACAGTTTCAATACAATCCCTATCAAAACTCCAGTGACATTTTCCACAGAAATAGAATAAACAATCCTAAAATTTGTATGGAACCACAGAAGACCCCTAAAAGCCAAAGTGATCTTGAAGAAGAACAAAGGTGGAGACATCATGCGTCTTGATTTCAAACTATATTAATTACAAAGCTATAGTAATCAAAACAGTATGGTATTGACACATAAACATACACATAGATTAATGAAGCAGAATAGAGAGCCCAGAAATAAATCTGAGCCCTCTATATGGTCAATGTATGGTCTCATATATGGTCAATTAACTTATGAAAAAGGAAGTAAAAATATGCAATGGGAAAATGACAGTCTCTTCAACAAGTGCTGTTGGGAAACTGGACAGCCACATATGTAAGAATGAAACTGAACACTATACCGTATACAAAAATTAACTCAAAGTGGATTAAAAACTTTAAATTAAGATCTGAAACCATAAAACTCCTAGAAGAAAGCATAGACAGATTCTCGACATTGGTCCTGGTGATATATTTTTGGATCTCACTCCAAAAGCAAAGGCAACAAAAGCCAAAATAAACAAGTTGGACTTCATCAAACTAAAAAGCTTCGGCACAACAAAGGAAACTGTCAACAAAATGAAAAGGCAACTCACTAACTGGGAGAATATATTTGCAAATCATATATCCAGTAAAGGGTTAATACCTAAAATACATAGTGAACTCTTATAACAGTAGCAAAACACACACACAATCTGATTAAAAAACAGGCGAAGGACCAGACTAGACATTTTTCCAAAGAAGACATACAGATGGCCCCTCAGACACATGAAAAGATGCTCAGCATCACTGACCATCAGGGAAATGCAACCCAAAACCTCCATGAGCTATCACCTTACATGCATCTGAATAGCTATTATTAAAAAGACAAGAAATAACAAGTGTTGGCAAGATGGTGATAAGGAAATCCTCACGCACTGTTGGTGAGAATGTAAATTGGTGCCACCACTACAGAAAACAGTATGGAGATTCCTTAAACAATTAAAAATAGAACTACCATAAGATCCAGGAATTTCACTTCTGGGTATTTATCAGAAGAAAACAAAAACACGAATTCCAAAAGATATACGTACCCCTTTGTTCATTGTAGCATTATTTGCACGAGCCAAGATACGAAAACAATCTGAGCCTCTATAGATGGATGAATAAAGCAGATGTGGTATATATATGCAATAGAATACGACTCAGCCAAAAAAAGGAGGAGGAGAAGGAGAAGGAGAAAAAATCTTGCCATTTGCAGCAACAGGGTTGGAACTTTGGAACTCGAGGGTGTTGTGCTGAGTGAAATACGTCAGATAGAGAAAGACAAATACCATTTGGTGTCGCTTGTATTTGTCATCTAAAGCAAACAAAACTCATGAATACGGAGAATAGAGTGGTGGCTGCCAGAGGCTGAGGGGTTGGGGTGTAGGCAAAATGGTAAAGGATGTGAGGAGATACAGACTTCCAGTTGTGAAATGAAGAGGTTATGGGGACATGGTGTGAGGCATGGTGACCATAGTCAATGGTGTTGTACTACATATTTGAAAACTGCTAGAAGAACGGATCTTAAAAGTACTCACACAAGAAAAAAAATTTTCTCTAAGTTTTATGGTGGTGGACGGTGGCTAGACTTAATGTGGTGATAATTCTTCAGTGTACACAAGGCTCTAATCATTACCCTGTGTACCTGAAACTACTATAATGTTGGACATCAATAATACCTCAATAAAATTGTATGATAGTATTTGTAAATACAGATAAACCTTCATGTACGAGGCGAGACTTAACTTTAACCTTGAAGAACAAAGGGAATCTCTATTGAAAGGGAGTTGAAAGGGAGTAAGTCAGAATTGGAAAATCTATTCTGTGTTCTCCACTTAAAGACAAAATTGCTCTGGTTAATGTCTTTGTTATTAAGCACTGTTTCAGCCTTATTCCTTCCTCATCTAACAAGCTAATCTAGCACGTAGCAACTGGAACTTCCTGTTAGAAAGTTAGAAAATATATATATGCCTTAGAATATATATATTTTAAGCTCTATCTGCTTGTATCTAGAACTTTCGAATGTTTTGTAGTCGTTCGTTCTGCTGATATTGGCTATGGAGTACTCTGCAGGCAATACCTTTAGTGCGAAGATGTCAAGAGAACAAGCGTCTACCTAGAAAAATTGTAGTGATCGTTAGCAGAGACAAAAAGCCACCGTATTCTAAAACTCATGTTTTTCTAGAACCTATCTCGAAGTACGAGCAAAAGTAGAATTGGTATGCTGTCTTCTTTCTTCCCCCTTCTCCATGGAGCAATCTTGACAGAAAACTATCAACTCCCTGCTAAAATCCTCTAGTGGCCCTCCATTTTACTTATGACAAAATCCAAATTCCATACACTGGCCCTCAAGGTCCCGGATGACGTGTCCCTGCCTCCTTTCCTACATGACCCTGTGCCATTCTCTTCTTTTCTCACTACACTGCATTCTCGCTAATCACCCACCTACACTATATCCGTTCAACCATAAAATTTCCGTTCTTGTTGATTCTACTACCTCCAATTCTCTTTCCTAGGCCTTTGAAATGCTGTGGCTTTTTATCAAGCCCAGGCTCACATTTTACGATATCAGAAAACCTGCTCTGATGACTCAGTCTATAGTTGCCTCACCTTTGTCCGATTTGTCGTATCATCCTGTTTATTTGATAGTATTTAGGACCTTGAAATTATCGTATTTATGTGTTAATTCTCTCGCCATTAACATAAAAGCTCTAAAAGGACAGGGGCTGGGCATATCGTGATCACCAACAAATACCTAGTATCTTGAAGATCACTCCGCATATAGAACCTGCCTACGGATAACTGTTTTGAGCGACTAATGCTGACTTGGCTTGTCATAGATGAGACACTATAGAGGCAATTAAAGAGGGCTCACCTGTGAGAGCAATGGAAAAAAATTAACCTTATATGCCTTCTAAGAGTGCATTTAAGCTACAGTGGGCCTGTAGCACCAACTACATTGTACCATCCCTTGATGGTGACAGTCATCATGGAATCAATTAAATTCTTGGAATTCTGGAAGTCAGATCTATCTCTGCCTTCTCTTTATTTATCCCACTCCCCCCAAGGGCCAGCAGACACTAAGAAGGGAAATTTTTTTTAATGGTAACAGATTTAAGTGGTGGGAAGGAAAAAAAAAAAAAAAAAAAACACTGTGGGAAGGTAAAGCAGCCTTATTCCGAACGAAAGGCCATAAAGAGATTAAAGGGCAAAGCTCAGACTCTCTGACAGAAAAGTAGATATTGTTGTGGGTAGCAGTAAGTTTAGGGAAGTAAGTTTGGATTATTGTTCACATAAGTTTAGACTAAAGAGGAGATAAAAAATCCAGGAGAAAGAGTATGGATTTGATGCTGAAAATATGTGGGACAAAGTTAAGTCCTTATACAGAGAAGTAGCCCAAAGATAGTAATATTTATGAAGGATAATCTGTCAGTTTTATTTGGGACAACTCCCACCTGGGAGGAAAAAGGTTAGGATGCCTGAGATCTGCAAGTAATGCTTCCATACCCAGAAGCTCGCTGGCCTTACTTTGATGCATCTAAACATTAATATTCACTTGAGCTCCCCTGCCAGAACATAAATTTTCTCTTAACTGCTAGTATTAAATATTGGTATTTCATTACTTAGAGAAAAAAAAAAATAAAAGTCACACGTCTTCACAATTGTATACAGAGTAGCAAAGCTGATGTGTTGGCCTGAACAGATTTATTTTCTCTCCTCTCCCTTTCTCTTCTTTCTCTTTCACACATTCCATCTTCCATCCTCCTTGTCTCTCTTTTTAGTAGACACTTATTTTACAGAGTTTTTAATGGGTGTTTAACAAGATGCCAGGGACCAGGAGAAGACAAAAGCAGAAGACATCTAGAATGTATTCAGGAATTTGGAGGAGGAAGTGGTAAGTGTGGGCAGAGGGGGTTAGAGAAGAAACCACAAACGTGTGCCTGCTTACGGGTCTGCTTTGATGCACGCACAGGCATCTTTCAGTTTGTCAGAGGCAGGCATTTCTCTTTGCTGCCTCCCACTCTGCCTTCCGAAGCCCCAATCATTTCCTGGGCTGTAGAAAGGAGAAACTCATGAGGTCACTTCAACCTTCGTCTCTTCTCACTCAGATCTGTTTTCCACACACAAGCCAGAGCTGTCTGTTTTCTACATAGGTTTTCGTTTGCAGTTATATTATGGGGTCCATAACACATGTGTATAGTTAAAAATAACACCAAGAACCTTACGGTTAAAGCTGAAGTCCCATTTGATCATTAACTTCAGTGCTCATTCTTTATCCCGTTTTGAGTTTGGTGTCTCAAAGTTTATTATCAGAAAGAAATTATGAATGTACCAGGCTATGTGTATATTCACTCTCATAAAATGAATATTACGTTGGTTTGTCTAGGATGTATGGTTTTACGTAAAAGGGATCTGATACCACATGTTACATTTCAGCTTGCCTTTTTTCTCAATGTTTGGTTTTTGTGATCTCTTAATGTCAAAATATGTAAGTATTTCTCATTTTAACTGCTTTTTAGTATTCTATTTCACGAGCATGCCATATTTTATCTCTTTATTCTATTTAAGGGTGCTAATTGCAAATTTTGATATCATGAAGAATGTTTTAGTAAGCGTTTATTCATCCAAAATATATTTTATTGAGGATTTGCCAAGTGCTGGGCATTGTTCTGGTTGTTCATATCAGCGAATAAAACAAACAAAAATCCTTGCTTTTGTGTAATTTGCATTATAGTAGGGTAGACAGCAGACAGACAACAGAAAAAGTAGACCAGATAAGAGTTATGAAACAAAGAAAGAATAGAGTAATATAGGCAGGTCAAAAATGCTAGAATAAGATGGGAGGTCTGGTTCTAATACTAAATAGAGTTACTCAGTTTCTTGCAAATCCAGAGGTTAAACCGATAGTATGGCCCAAGTTTTAACCATATTTCACATTGTTAGCATAAACTATCTGGCATGTTCTGCCAAGAGACTCCTAACAGGATATTGTAAGGGCTTAGAGATTATCTCTCAAGAACCAGCAGTGAGCGAGTTCTTTGGCATGTGAAAGGTTTGAACACCCCACGCCTGCTGATGAACTCTTTACCGAACATTTTCAAATATGGCGGGTTTTTTTTTTTTTCCATTTTAAATTTTATCCATGTTTTTTAGTTTGCCTTGGTGGGAAGGTTGATCTGAAATAAATTAGTGTGCAATTGAAGAAGTCAGTATTTTGAAAATATTGCTCTATTGATGTCCTGTATCTAATGAACCTGATAAAACAGCAGATGAAAACTGATTTTTATCCTTTATTTTGTTGTTTTCCTTTTTGATGGTTTTAGAGGTTTCTCTTTATTCTTAACATATTGAAGCTATTGTACAATGTGTTCAGGTGTGAAGTTTAATTTGTTCCTTAATTGTTTATTTGTTTTGATTTTGCTTTGCATTACACAGACTTTTGCAGGATATGAAGTCATACTTCTACAATTCTCAGAAATTCTTTCCTATTATTTCCTTAAATATTGGCTTTCTTTTATTTTCTCTATTACTTTAATCTGGAATTCCATTTAAATAAAATTTTGAACTTCTGGATTTATGCATCTGAACTTCTCTTTGACACTTTCCAGGGTTGACTCTTGTTATTCTTACAGT